GTCTATGTAAGAGTGTGCATTTCATATAAATCTCTATCTGTGTGTTTTTGTTTTTTGTCTGGATATAACCTTCTGTTCCTCCCTGACTCTGTGCTGCCTCATGTATCATTCCCTATCTTTTTCTTCTCCTCTAGACCTGCCCATCTGCATCAGGTTTCGAAGAAGTATCGGATGAGAGCTTTGATATGTGCTAGTATTTAGGGCCTCGGATATTTGTAAATTTGCAATGCCACACAATACAAATTATGTTACAGCACAACACTATCTCTGTGTATGTGTTTGTGCTGTGTGTTGACACACATAACACACGCATACTCAACACAGTAAGAGTTGACTAACTGGGAACATCCTTGAAAGTCAGAATGCATCTGCCTGAGAGGCAAGGAACCAACAATTTGTATACATATCGATAGGTTCTATAAAACAGATGTACATACAACACTAAGGTTCTGGAACAAGACTGAAGTCCAGAGGTGGACGAACAACCAGAACTTTCTGCCGGGGTTTGCAGCAAGTGAACGTGAAGTAGAAGTAGAATGGTGATATTCTATATGCAATATCTTATATATGATATTGTACATGTGATATTCTATGGTGATATTCTATGGTGATATTCTATATGTAACATTAAATGGTGATATTCTATATGTGATATTGTACATGTAATATTCTATTGTGACATTCTATATGTGATATTCTATATGTGATATTCTATATGTGATATTCTATGGTGATATTGTATATATGTTGTACACATGATATTCTATGGTGATCACCTAGGTGATATTCTATATACCAGTGAAATATATATATATATATATATATATATATTCCATGATGATATTCTGTACGTGATATTCTAAATACCAGTGATCTAACCTAACAAGTGTAACTTTATTGCACATTGTGACTGCCCACCAAATGGAGCAGTCTGCTTAGCATTGACCAACACCTTGACGACCAGACCATTCTACGTAGCTGTCCAGGGGTCAGTAATGTGAGCCGAAGCTACCAGAAGCCTCCACCATCAGAGTTCTTCCTTCAGACACTACAGCCAGACTGTCAACTCCGTCTTGTGCCAGGACACAATGTTATGAGAGACAGCACTGCTGAGAATTCATGCATCACAAAGACTCCACCAGGGGGAGCCGCCTTCGTGTAGCGGCTAGTCGCTCGCCTGCGGATCCGAATGTTGTGGGTACAAGTCCTGGCGGAGCCTGACCCTAGCTCATAGGTCGACTCTCTTAAACGGGCACCAAGTAAAGTCCTGGGAAGTAAAGCTGGCCAGTGTGATGCTGACCGCATCCCCCATAGAGTGCCGACTGGTCAACAAAAACAAAGGTCTAGCCCTATATGCCCAATAAGCCTGAAGGTGAGGATCGGGGTCCTCCTCAACTTTTATGATATCAGGACCTGGTTTCCAACTTGGCTCAGAAGCCGAGGAGGTCCCATCTTGTAGTGAATGAATAACCCAGATGCTCTTTATATCAGGACCTGGTTTCCAACTTGGCTCAGAAGCCGAGGAGGTCACATCTTGCAGTGTATTAGTAACCCAGATGCTCTTTATATCAGGACCTGGTTTCCAACTTGGCTCAGAAGCCGAGGAGGTCACATCTTGCAGTGTTTTAGTAACCTAGATGCTCTTTATATCAGGACCTGGTTTCCAACTTGGCTCAGAAGCCGAGGAGGTCACATCTTGCAGTGTATTAGTAACCTAGATGCTCTTTATATCAGGACCTGGTTTCCAACTTGGCTCAGAAGCCGAGGAGGTCACATCTTGCAGTGTATTAGTAACCCAGATGCTCTTTATATCAGGACCTGGTTTCCAACTTGGCTCAGAAGCCGAGGAGGTCACATCTTGCAGTGTATTAGTAACCCAGATGCTCTTTATATCAGGACCTGGTTTCCAACTTGGCTCAGAAGCCGAGGAGGTCCCAACTTGCAGTGAATGAGTAACCCAGATGCTCTTTATGATATCAGGACCTGGTTTCCAACTTGGCTCAGAAGCCGAGGAGGTCCCAACTTGCAGTGAATGAGTAACCCAGATGCTCTTTATGATATCAGGACCTGGTTTCCAACCTGGCTCAGAAGCCGAGGTGGTCACATCTTGCGGCGTATGAGTAACCCAAATGCTCTTTCTCATTTAAACCGCACCTCAATGATGATTATTAGTAACATACCAGGTGCTGATCATCCCTCTCAATGTGGCTGACAGAGAACTATCAGACAAATAAAGTAAGTAAAGGACCCTTTTCGCACCCCTTCCGGCTTACAGCGCTAGACCTACATTTTATCAACCAATCGACTCTCAACTGGTGATGTGGTCAACATCACACTGGCCGCCTTTACTTCCCAGCTACCCATTTAAGGCTGGCTGACCTGGCAGCCAAGGTTGTGTATTTTTTTCAGTCCGGCTGTGTCAGGATTTGAATCCAGGTCGTTTTAGATCCGCAAGTATTCATCTAGCTGCTTCACTACATCTGCTGTCCAGACACACAAAAAACGATCATTTCTCCTGTACCCAATGACAAACACGCACATAAAAACCGCAAGAAAGCAATCAATGCTCAATGGTGATCAAAATTCAGACATAAAATAAGACATTGGTAACATTTTGGCATCTGATATACAAATCAGTTGAGCTGGATTCATAAACCAAACACATGGCGAAAACCAAAGACATGCCTGAATAAATAAAATCCACCACACATACAGAAAATAAATCTGATGCAGTGTCATAAAAAGTCTCTTATGCATGGGTTTCACAGGTGGTTTATGCAAATATTGTATGGCTGTGTGTAGGCCTGTTTTCTAGAAACATATGTGCCGGTACTCATCACATATCTTATAAAAAGGTGCCGTACACAGTGTCTGTTACATCAGCGATGGAACAAATGTTGCCTAAAAACAGGTGCCCTTATTGCGTACCACCAGAAGGAAAAAAAACTGGCTGTGTGGAACTAAAGTGTCAAGCAGTGGTAGCCTGATACCAAGACACCGCAACACATGTCCTAGTGAAGACAATAAGCACAAGAGATCTCTGCAGCAAATGACAGTGTGTGAAGGAAAATGAGAACAAATCATATCACAAGCAGTCATCAAGTTCATCAACTGGATGCCAGGAGCAGTCCTCGTGGCATGGGTGATGACATGTCACAAACAGAAAGCACAGTTTAAAAGAGGCACCAAGCCTCTGATGTCACTAGCGACTGGGCTGCAGCTGACAGGAAGTGAGTCCACCCACCCATGTCATTCTGTGATGTTCTCCATACTGTCAACAGTGAAGGCAGTCCATCTGCACATGACCCTTAGTGATGTCCTCACACTCTCAAGCCCTTGTGTGACGTCCATGATCAGGCTATCAATCACTGTCAGGAGTACAGAAAAACATGCATGATCAGGCTATCAATCACTGTCAGGAGTACAGGAAAACATGCATGATCAGACTTTCAATCACTGTCAGGAGTACAGGAAAACATGCATGATCAGACTTTCAATCACTGTCAGGAGTACAGGAAAACATGCATGATCAGACTTTCAATCACTGTCAGGAGTACAGGAAAACATGCATGATCAGACTTTCAATCACTGTCAGGAGTACAGGAAAACATGCATGATCAGACTTTCAATCACTGTCAGGAGTACAGGAAAACATGCATGATCAGACTTTCAATCAAAGTCAGGAGTACAGGAAAACATGCATGATCAGACTTTCAATCAAAGTCAGGAGTACAGGAAAACATGCATGATCAGACTTTCAATCAAAGTCAGGAGTACAGGAAAACATGCATGATCAGACTTTCAATCAAAGTCAGGAGTACAGGAAAACATGCATGATCAGACTTTCAATCAAAGTCAGGAGTACAGGAAAACATGCATGATCAGACTTTCAATCAAAGTCAGGAGGAGAGTAAAACAACAATCATTAGATATCAATCATAAAACAACAATCATCAGATAACAATCACTGTCAGGAGAACAGACAAACATTCATGATCAGACTATCAATCACTGTCTGCAGTACAAAAAAACATGCATAATCCAGTCACAATAGTTCAAATACCTCCAATGTGTGCTCCGGAGAGCATTTTGGGGGCGGGGGAGGGGGGAGGGATAGATCCACTGCTTTCCCTAACAAGCATGTGATACAAGGCATCTAATTAGGGGTGTTTCCTTCAAAATTAGAACCAACAGTCTGCATACAAACAAGCCAGATCTGTGAAATAAGCAAAACTCAAGTTCCAGAATGAGACCAGAGTCCAAAAGTGGACGAACAATCAGCAATTTCTGCCCAAGTTTGCAGCCAGTGAATGCAAAGAAGAAGAAGTTCTGCTATAATTAAGTGATATTTAACGTAAGATAGAACAGGCCACACCAGGTTCAGGCCCTGGTAAAGGCTGGGATTTTTTCACGTGGACTTCTAGTAACTTCCCCCTGTTATCTGGGTAGTAAGACTGGACACCCGTGTGTATTGTTGCGAATATAAAAAATCCCTACATGTATCTAAAGTACGACACCTGCGGTCTTTGAATACATTTCAATAGCAATGTGTTGCATGGGGTTTTAAAAATAACAACACAGCTACTACAGGTGCTCAAAGTGATTCCCATTAGCTTGTAGACACTTATTATAACCATAATACAACCTATACATCTTGTGTGATGTCTCTCACACAGCCAACATGAAATCTTTCCCTGGCCAGGAATTCCAACTGTCAGCACTCATATATATATATATATATATATATATATATATATATATATATATATATATATATATATATATATATATACACAGGTGTCCAGTCTTACTACCCAGATAACAGGGGGAAGTTACTAGAAGTCCACGTGAAAAATATATATATATGTGTGTGTATACGTATATATATATGTATATATATATATATCACTCAACAACAGCACACACACACACAAAATCATAGCTACCGATGGAACATAACTTTGTGATAATGTTGACATTCAAAATCTTTGTAATTTAACGAGTGAAAATTTTCTAACTGTACATAAGAGTACAGCAAACAGCGAAGCACAGCCATCGGTCAGCGGGATCCGGTCATCACTTGGTCCCTGGTCCTCCCCATTGATGATAAAATGCATACGAGCATAGTAACCAGTCTCGTCTGGACAGTACATGACCCCGATACGTGACCCTACGTCCGTGGCCAGGATGAGTTTCTTGGCAGCTTTCAGTGATGGCTCATCACCATCAAACGAAGCCTGATCACTGGAACCATTCATGAAGGCTGAGCGAAACAGCGAATATGAAGGCTGCAGCATTGAACGTCTTACACGACCGCAAGAAGTGCTGATAACCTCACTGTTGCCCAGAACTGACTTGTATGGAGCTTTCAGAGATGAGTGTGCCCTTTCGGGACTTTGATGGTACTGCAGCCTATTCCGTGACTTCGTCACTGCAGACACCCAACACCTTCCAAACTGGCCAAGGTCTGGCAGAGCATACTGTGGTAAACCGTTCTCCTGCTTGGCTGGATCCACCTGCAGACAGGTAAATACAATGTTATAACTGCCCAGGGCTTTTTTATATAAAAAATAGGTGCCGGTACTCACCATAAAGTGTCTAAAAAAGGTGCCAGTACTTACCAAAGTGTCTATAACCGCAGCGCTGAAAAAATGATACCTTAAACAAATGCTGAATGAACCACAACATACAACCAGAGGAAAACCCTGATTCTGCCAAACCCGGACACTGGTGGCAAATCAAAGATGGAAATTATAACAAGAGAGACGACATGTGTCACGTGACATGACAAAAGACAGAAACCTATAACCACACAGAGAAAACAATTACAGACAAAGGCATATATGGGGTTAGCAGGGAAGGAACTGCAGGAAAAGCCAAATGATAGGAGGCTTAGGTGATAGTCTGGTAGTCTTAGTTTCAGCATCATAGCAAACGGGTCACCCCATCTTTGCTCCGCTCCTGTGCCAACGAAAAACACGCAGAATGTTTATCACAGTCCCTTGTGGAAAGATTGACAGGCTGCTGTCTCAGCATATCTAGCATACACATGCATTAAAGCATACGGTAGCCATTTGAAGTGCTAACACAAACAGTCCGACATTAGAAGTAAATGCAGTTCATCAACTGATGGTAGCAGAAGTCACCAACAGATCAGCAGTTGCCCATGCGATCAATTTTAATCCCATACGGGCACCACCAACATTTCGATGACAGGCATCGCGCCATTTTCTAAATCTACAATTCACACCAGTCAAAAAAAAAACATTCCAAATGAAATCCGCAGCTCACAGTGTCACGCCATGCATTGAAGCTGGGCGGCGAAACTATATCCAGTCTACAAATGGAGCAAAAATGCATTGGCCACCGTCCGGCAGAAGCCAAAAATTTGCCTCGGCTCCGAAAAGTGCTCCTGCCTAGCGTCCATTTTGATTGGAACCAGGCTTAGGTGAGAACTGGCTGAGGGTCAATGCTTCACTGTGGGATCTTCTTCTTCTTGTTCACTGGCTCTTAACTCCACAGGAAGGTTCTCGATGTTAGTCTACTTCTAGACTTCAGTCTTGTTCCAGAACAGTTTTGCCTGCACTTTCACTTTCCAGATCTGACTTATTTGTATGCAGCCTACCGGTTCCTTGCCTCTCAGGCTGATTAAATCTAACTCTGAAGGAAATACACCTAATTATGAGACTCCTATGACATGCTTGTTAGGGATGCATTGGGTCAAAAAATGGAGCCAGGTAACCCACATGGGTAATTTCAAACACTAAAATGTGATACATTCAAATTTACCTGAAGAACATACCAGTCTCTGGAAAGTTGTTGTAGCTGATCCATACATATTTTTTCAAGTGATCAGTAAAACGATGCTATAGAGAACATTGATGAGCACAGTGACAACATTATGAAGAAGATTGTGTGAAACAATCAAGATAGATGAGAAACTCTGCATTAAGGAGTCAGTGTTATCTCTATAAAGCCGGCCCGGCTCTCTAGCGTAGTTGGCTAAACTGGATTGCGCGGAGACCGGGTGTCAAACTCCTTGTGGTCCAGGTTCAATCCCGGGGGTAGGCAGAAAAGCCACATATCTCCCAGATTTACGGTATTTACAATGGAATCAAAGCCGAAAGGTTGCGATATCCATAATACCGAGCCTAAGGGTTAACAACTCATGGCTTCTGGATACTAAAACAAAACTCTATAAAGCCAATTATGTACTCCATTCCAACTCCACTCGGTCTTCTCTATCTTAACCAAAAATATACCACCTGGCTGATTTATGATGCTGTTATCATCACACTTCAGGAATTAATTACAGATTTGAGTGATATGGTGGTATGGAGAGATTGCTGATGGGATTGGTGAGAGGGGGAGTTGAGTTTTGGAAAACAAGGCAGAGGCCGACCTCAGCGAAGTTGAATACAGGACACTGAATATGCACTGTCTACTTCTTCTTCATGTTCACCAGCTGTAAAAAGTTCTGGTTGTTTGTCCACTTCTTCTAGAACATGAGTGTTGCATGTGCATCCATTTTACAGATCTGACTCATTTGTATGCAGACAGCTGGTTCCTTGCCTCTCAGGCAGATGCACTCTGGCTCTGAAGAAAGCTCCCAATTTGTCGACTCTTACGACATGCTTTTGGGTAGGCAGTGGGTCTATTCTTGTTTTTCCTCTAATGGGGCCCCAGAACCAACATGGGGAATAGCATTGTCTACGAAAGCACACTTTTCTGGCGTGCCATGATGAAAGGACATGCTAACTGACTAATTGAGGAGTGTCCCAATACATTAGGGAAGACATGGACAAAGTCGGCTGCTGAAGAATAGGGCGAAGCAGGTGGTGCTTGACCTGCGGTAGTGCAATCATAGTACAACAGAGGTTCAGGGTGGGCAGATGGACAATAGGGTCCCACCTGGAATTTAGTAAATGTATTACCTCTGTTAAGCCGATCCTCATGTGCCCACTCCATCCCCGCTCGGTCTTCTCTATCTCCACCAGAAATATTTCCCCTGGCTGCAGAGGTTTCTCGCTGAACACCAGCGCATGAGCAAAACTGACCTCCCTGTGAGCCACGGTGTTCCCCTGCAGTAGCCGGATGTTCTGTCCATGAGCCTTGTGGAACCTTCTCACCGGCATCTCCCCCTGACATCCACAGAGAAGCACAATCAGTGACCACGCAAGAAGATACAGGTACAATTCACACACAAGCAATTTATGCAACAACAATGCTTAAGAATATAGAATAAAAATATAACCTGTGCTGCATGAATTTAAGGAATTAAAACACCCCTATAACTGTGAAGCAGGATCGATAAAATGATTAGTGCATCTGTCACTCATGTTCTGTCAAGCCTTATGGAACCATCTGTCACTCATGTTCTGTTGAGCCTTGTGGAACCATCTGTCACTCATGTTCTGTTGAGTCTTGTGGAACCATCTGTCACTCATGTTTTGTCGAGCCTTGTGGAACCATCTGTCACTCATGTTCTGTCGAGCCTTGTGGAACCATCTGTCACTCATGTTCTGTCGAGCCTTGTGGAACCATCTGTCACTCATGTTCTGTTGAGCCTTGTGGAACCATCTGTCACTCATGTTCTGTCGAGCCTTGTGGAACCATCTGTCACTCATGTTCTGTCGAGCCTTGTGGAACCATCTGTCACTCATGTTCTGTCGAGCCTTGTGGAACCATCTGTCACTCATGTTCTGTCGAGCCTTGTGGAACCATCTGTCACTCATGTTCTGTCGAGCCTTGTTTGATCCCAGCTGCAGGCTATTTGCCAGCAGAAGGCCTTGCGCCTGGATTCAATGCTGATATCAAGAGCCATCTGTTCAGAGAGCAATGGTAAACTTCTCAAAGTCCATGCCTGGTGGCTTTGGTAGTCATGTCTATCCACAACCTTTTGCCTCATGTACTTTCAATCAACGCTGACACAGATGATTCTCCATGCAATGATGTCAAACTACTGAACATAATATTGTCCAGTGAAAACATAAACAGCCTAATAATACTGGAGTTGGTTCTGCCATGTCGTGTAAATGATATGCCACTAACTTATTACATACTGGCTGTGGAGCAAGAGGAATCTAGTGGTTAGTACACTTGCCACCAAAGACAATGGTCCAGATTCTTTTATTTTTTTTTTTCTAACTTTCACCGGCTGTAAACTCCTGAGAATGTTCTTGTTCTTTGCTCACTTCTGGCCTACTGTTTTTTCCCACAGCTTTAGTTGTTTGTACACATCCATGTTGTTGTTTTTTTCAGATGTGGCTTGTATGCAGCCTGTTGGTTCCTGTCTCTCAAGCTGTTGTATTTGAATTTGAACTTAGTATTTTAGAATCAGGATTCAATTAATTATACCAAGGGGTTACATTTGTTAAAAATAGTAGTAGAAGTAGCCGTACAATAGTCAAGAATGTTAGCTTAGTTACTGGTTAGCCCAAGCCTGGGCAAACAGTAAACGACCTCACACCATTCGCTAGTCAGTCAGTCAGCTTAGAGTATACACACAAGACGTGATTGACACTACACTAAAGAAAAGGCAATCGTAGTTTATTTATAAAGGTAAGATATCTACAAGCATTGTAATGATTATAAATAGCGAAAAGCGCAGATTCAAGTCTAAATGAACGCAGCGAAACTCGGTTCTCCGTGAGCAGTTAGAAGCAAATAAGAAATAATAAATAATAATTATAACATCACAATCACATCCAAAATAAATAAAATACTAAATACAGTGAGATATCAGATGTGATCTCATCGCGAATTTATTAGTCCCAATGCATTTCAGCCGTTTCTATTTACTACAATGATAGCAATGCACCGTACCAGCAGCAGTCCGCGTTGTTACATCTGAGGAGTGCAACTGCAGTGGAAATATGCCCAAGCCAAAACACGAAGCTGAAGAACAACTGAAGATTTCCAGACGTTAGGTTGTTGGTCTCGTAGAAACCATGATTGTCTCTCCTCTCTCCATCCAAACGTCTACTGTGCCAGGTTTTCCTCGCATGGATACCAAATATTCGTCGTTTAGCCGAGAATCACACTCTAGTCTAGGGACTCTATGCAGTCGTTGCTTCTTCTTCTCCTTCTTTTTCTTCTTCTTCTTCTTTCCCACCTTATTCTACTACTGCAACAACTATTACTACTACAACTAGCACGTCACTTGATGATGATTACTATCACTCAACATCATCATGTGTCCTTTCAACTGGCGTCTCCACAGATCACGATCCCTGGTTGCATGGAACAGCTCTCTAAATGATATCCCTTCATGCCATCGTTTCAGCCCATCCAGCATAATCTCTCTTGGTCGGCCTCTACCTCTTTTCCCACTGATCTTTCCAGTTGTCGGGATGTTCTCCAATATCTCTCTTCTCATTATGTGGCCAAAGAACAGTGTTTGTCTCTTTCTTATTGTCTCTTATATAGAGATCTACTTTCATTAGCCTCTTTCAAGCAATCGTTGTTAGTTATTCTGGCCGTCCAAGGTATTCGTAACATTCGTCTCAGAAACCACATCTCAGGTGCTTCAAAATTCTTTCTAATTTGTTCACTGACATTTCACGATTCGCTGCCATACAGCAGAACAGGTTCTATGCGACATTTGGCACTCCCTTTCTGACAATAAATGCGAGCGATTTATTGCATAAGATATTTTTCCTTTTCTGAAATGCAGCTTTCGGTTGACCTATTCTGCTTTTAATCTCTGTCACACATTTTCCATCTGATGATATGATTGTTCCAAGATATTTGAATTTATTGACTATCACTAATACCACCAACACTACCACTACTATTACTTATACTAAACCCATTGCTACTGTAACCACCACCACCACCACCACCACCACCACCACCCACCACCACCACCACCACCACCACCACCACTAGCGGCAACTTGCAGCTAAAATCACTGGGCTGCTTATTTGTATTCTCCAGCATTACAAAACTTTGAGTTTCCTTGATGCAGGTAACCCCCACCGCCCGCCTTCATCCCATTCTGTGCTTGGTTTTTCCCCCCAGCTGGTGATTCCAAGTGTTTGTACGTCTGCTTAAGGGGTTACTACACCAAATTTTTTTATTTACAGAGTTAGTTATTTTATAATGGTCATCTGTAAGGATACACGTTATTACATTTGAATACTTTATGTGTAAAAAAAATCATGGTTGTCATGGCAGTAGCCGCCATCTTGTAAAAAGAAAACAATATGTACGTAGAATCCTAAAATGTTAAAAACTAACATACCTATTTAACAATAGATGATGGATTAATTACATTTAATCCTATTTAGAGGTACAGGTGTAGGTTTTTTTTACTTTGAACATGTTTATAAATATTTTTCGTCAAATTTTAAATTGTAGGTTTATTGAAAAAGTCAAAAAAAAACATAGCATCATAAAATTTTAAAAAACTTTCTGAAATCTACTTTTGTATAGACCAGTCCCTAAAATATTGTTTAAGGAGTATCCATACCAATCATGTTTCTAGTCTTTATATAAACTAAGATTTTTGGATTTTAAACACACAACAAACAGAAATATAGAGATGTGAGAAAACAGACTTTTACACTTTTTTTATCTTCAAAAAGTGCATGGGTTGGTGTCTTTAGTATTAACTTTTCAATGCTAAATTGTTTACTAATGACCCTCACCTTCTGCATCTTTTTTTTTTTTTTTTTTATACTACTAACACCATCAATACTACTATAAACGCTGAAGCTGTTACTACAATTATCAATACAACTACTACGATATCACGATCATCTTCTCATCTCTGCCCCTGAAGAATTATTTGTAGGGGCATTTATCATGACCCACCCCCGCCCCCCCCCCCCGCCCCATGTTTCCATTGCGGAGGCGCACATCGTACTAAATGCCGTCGTTATTAAGACATTTAAACATAAGTATTGACTGCAGAGAAACAGACTATAAACGGCACATTCAAATCGACTCTGCGCTACGGGTGCCAAACTTGCACGTTATCATTAATAAAGTAACAAAAAAATGTATTGAATGGCACTCATAGAAAGAAGTAGAACGATAGAAGAACACACTAGACAACATAAAAATCAAAGGCTATAGTTACTGTCCGGGAATCGAACCTGTCAACTCCAGACGGCGTGTGCGCCTCGCCATGGAAACAAGGGCACTAAGAATATGGTCAACTAGGCCCCCCCCTCCCCCCCCCCCCCCCCCCCCCCCCCCCCCCCCCCCCCCCCCCAAAAAAAGGTGTCTTGCTAGCCATGTCTATCGTAGAGCTTGAAATCCACAACTATAGAATACGGACAGAATTCATTTCAGACCATTGAAATGGCACCATAGGTTACAGAAATTTAAATTAACAAAGCAAATGTCGAAAAACAAGAACAGAAACAATTTACGAAAATTATTACGGGAAACATTCTAAAACCAGGGGCATAACTACGCTGGAATTTTTAAGGACAGCATATTTGTGTAGTTCCCTCCTCTTAATTTTTTTTTTCTTCTAATTTTTTTTTTCTTATCAGTGGCGCATCGGAAGTTCGTGCACTGCACTGCGATTTTTCAGACTCAGGCTTGAGTTAGAAGTAGAACGGAGCATTTATGAGTTACACCTGTGTGCCATGATATTGATCCGTTAAATAAACATAAATATAAATATACGATGGTTGATTCATGCTTGAACAGAGCAACCAGCACTCTTAAGTGTGATGTGCTCAAGATCACACCAGTCTCAATTACTTGCAAGGACATTTCCTGATATCAATTTTGATCTATGTCGCAAATGTTAACCAGTTTGTTTTCCTCTCTAATCCGCCAGGTGGGGATCCTTCCTCTTTTTATTGGCGTTCACCGGCTGTAAACTCCGGATGTTCGTCCGTTTCTGGACTGTGGTCTTACCAGAACTTGAGTTTGTGTGCACATCCGTTGTACATGTCTGGCAGACGTGTGTGCAGACGGTAGGTTCTTTGCCTCTCAGGCAGACACACTATGATTTTAAAGGAAAACCCATTCTTAGTCGCCTTCGACGACAATACTTGTTAGGGTGGCAGAGAGTCTATTCTTTGTTCTCCAAAACTGCGCCTAGGAACCCACACAGCGAGGTGTGAATCCGAACCCCAGGACCTTTATACTGTCAGGCGAGCGCCCAATCACT